GCTGCGGGTTGCGGGCCCCGCTGTGTCTTTAGAAGATTTTCCCCTGCCCACGTAAAACACACACACACCCACACACACACCCACACACACACCCACACACCCACCCACACACACACCACACACACACACTTTTGTTGTTTATAATAGGATATTTATGAAATAAAATGACTCCCAAAACTTTAGTTAATGAGAACCAATATAGATGTAGACAAAATGGTACAAGGCAAACCTATCAAAAACATCAATAGAAATGTGGATTACGTACCTGATGGTAACCATTTGGAAATTCATAATGAACAGTTGGAATGGAGGAAACTGTCTTCTCATCATATGGTGTCTCACAAACTTGTAAAACACTTGCCTGAAAATCTTGTACAACCTACACAAAGATCAAAATATATAAATCATAAAGTGTTTTACACACAGTTAACATACATCAAAAGTATTATTAATAGCTTCACCCTTAATATCCTCTGAATTTATCTGAGTCAGCTATAATCTTTAAAAATACAGAAAGTAGAAAGTAACAACATCATCATGTTTCAAATCATGTGTCTGGCTAATGGTAAAATTACACTAATTTTAATTCCCAGATTTAACCCTTAGTTACATAGATATCATACTATAATTTTATTTCGAAAATAAAAGTTCCATTTATACTACATTTAAACCTCAATTGCTTCTACCAACTGAAACAAATGTGTTGCGACAAAATGAAAAATAGTTTAATTACGAACATTTCTGAAAACTACTTTTTTTAATAAACTAGCAATAGAGTAACAATACTTGTTTCCTTCCAGAAATAAATGTAAAAATGAAGCATGTATTACAAGTTTCTCCTAAAGAGCTGTCCCATGATCCTTGATTAACTATAAGCATCACAACTTACTTTTTTCGTCATATAATTATGCCATGATTGAGTTACTTCAGGGAGATTTTTCTTCTGTGTCCATCGTGCTTTTTCGCGTTCTTTCACAGCTTCCTTTGCACCAATCATGTATGGTGGTACAATTTCAATTTCACTTTCTTGCTGTAATAACAAACGAGATGACAATCACTATAAAATGCAATTTTGCAAACAAAAGACTGAAGATTTTAAGAACTATAAATTATGTTATTCTATCAGAATCTGCTATCATTATCTTGAGAATATGAATAGCGTAAACAGCACATAGAAATTCGAAATTCAGGCAATGCACTACTATCAAGGTATTGACAATATAATTTGATTTTCTATTTTCCCTAATTTTTTAAGGAAAAGGTATTTAATTTAAGTATATGGCGTTAACTTTTACGTGACGGGACTCAGGCCATGAGGCCGCTCTTCCATCTGACTAAGCAAATTTTGCTACGCTCCTTTTACATTAGCTAGATTTGATTGATTTAAATCCAGCCAAAAACTTGTTTTTTACTCTTCAATTACGATTTTCAACATAAACTTTGTTGTGCTACGAAAGCACATACTTTCTCACTTATTTTACGTGGCGAAACTGGGCCCGCTCTTCCGTCTGACAACGCAAATTTTGCTATGCTCATTTCACCAACTAGCGGAGAAAGGAGGTATTCAATAGGGTTTATAACCGCGAACTTAGGTACAACAGTGCAATATGCTAACCGTTACACCATCGCCGCCGCGAATTAATTATAAGGCCAACCAGATACTCAACGGATAACTCTTCATTTTTATATACTACTATCAAATACAAAAAAAGTAAATTAAAAAGAATGATAATACATGTTTCATAGAAGATTCAGCCACGTTTCAAGAAAATCTAGTGGGGTAACAACAGCACATACGTTCTCGTATTATTAGTTACAGTCACCTAATATTGTAATATTTCAACTTCTAAGGCCAAGATAGTAGTCCATCTCAGCCATCTTTTGAAAGAAGAAGAGAAGAAAAGAACGAAAAACCACATCCTAATCCAAGTGCGAGATGCTATACATTCCTTTAATTTTTTCTGTTCTAAAGTTTAAATGAAAACTGCTTTCTACCGTTTCAATGGAATGTTGTGAATTGTGCTATATTCTTTACAAAAGTGTTTTTAAATTAGCCCAGCTATCGAATCTAAGCAATATGATGATCACAAATAAAGTGTCGTTCCCTGGCGCTTAATGTAAGCGTGTCTCAGAAGCACTCAATTTTAAAAATTGTCTTAATGTTGTGGTGATTCTAACATATCTCAAAATTATTCGAAACTTAATACTTTTTGAAAAACGCGTAAATGAAATGATTTAAAGATGGAATATATTGCATTAAGAAAGAAACCCTACCATCTCTAGCATAATTATTGAAGACTAAGAACAATTTCGCAAAAATCTTTAGAATTTTTGAAATTCTAAAGCAGTGCTTTTCAACCAGTGTGCGGTGGGGCCTTCACAGGTGGTCAACAGCCATCAAGCCATCAAGCGGGGACGAGTCGCCCAACGACCGTAGAAATAGTTATCTGCTAGAATGCGGAATGATAACGGTCTGTGTACAGTCGTTATACGTCGACGCTGCACTGTTCACCACCGATGAAGAAGAAAGTGCTAAAAGTGTTGTTAGGAATGACTGTTGCCTTAAACTACAGTAGCCAACTTTTAGTAGGCAATACTGCCGTTTCCTACATCGTATATTTGTGAAGCAGATTTTTCATCAATGAACGGCATCAAGACATCAACAACTCTGGAAGACGTGACAGTGTGCTTGTTAACCATTCCTCTCTGGAAGAAATAGAAATTATAATAAAGGAGTTACAGTTTTTGTAACGTGCGTACGTTGCACAATCAATTTTCTATTTTCTCCATACCCAAAATCAATCGATATTACTGACTTTCAATGCGCGCAGAAATTGCAAGAAAACTATGTAGCATTCGGTCATCCAAAAGTTGTCTGTGGTTTGTTAGATATTACCGCAGAACTCGGGGAAAATACAAAAACAAATAATCGATTTGCACTGGTGATACATACATCTGATTGTGGCATTCGCCCTCTTCTCATACTACAGGTACCCACTGAATTCTTCCTCAGTGCGTCACCTGACGTCACACACCTGACGTCAAGCAACAGGCACCACAGAAGGGGCCGCTCGACATTAAATATTTGCTTCTCACGTGGCGCGTGTTAAATTGGCAACATATTTGATATTTTTGATACGTTAATATCTGTTGTACTGTGTTCACTATTGTAGTATATTTTGTAATTGCAGTATTAGTGAACAATTTGCATTAAAATATTTCATTTATTGCTCGGTTTAACGATGGTATTTGATTTGTAGATCTTTAGCAGTGAGCTTGCTTTTTGGAAAACCATTTTGTTGGGTTTTGTTCAGCAGCATTTTTGCTGCTGCAGACCAGTAGTAAAAATTATATCTAAATTAGGTTAAAATGTGATTTTTTAAACAAAAATTTATTAAACATCATTTTAAACTATTGCAAAGTAATCTGAAAGAAACCATGCACAGATTGCAGTTCACACAAGTCAGAAATCACTATCCACAATTCATGATACAGAAAAATTGTTTGACGTCAAAATGTTTCAGTGGTCAACGCTAACGCCTAAACTGCTAAGACGCTTTTCTTCAAAAGCGATATTCCCCGAAATGTTTAATTTTTTTCAGCTTCTTCCTACAACTATAATTTTAAATCCAGATTTTGTCCTGAATGAAATCTGTTTTTCAAAGACATCTTCAGATATAGAATTGAACAATTTTTTAAAAACAAATGTTCGCGTAATTTTGCGGGAAATATTGGCAATTTCAAAAAAGAAATACTTAACAACGGATGCAATATTATCTTTGAATTTCCTTCTCGGATATTTTTTAAAGCAAATGCTTAATTACAAAACTAAAAAGAGCTTCTAACTTTTCTTTACTTTCTTTCTTCGGATTCCGTTTACGGCGAACTCTCCGTACTTTTGAAAATTGCAAACAAAAATAACATTTTAAACTACAATATTGGTAACTTTTTCTTAATAAAATTAGTTCTTTAAAACCAGATCTTCAAATAACTATAAAGATCTTATTGTATCGGTCCTGTGGCACTTTCATAAGCGTACTTTGATCCATTCAAGAAAATAAAAAATAAAAATAAATAAAAAAATTTAAAAAAAATAAAAAAAACGGAAATTTGGCAGACATTTATGAAGGAAAAATAAATAAGTAAATAGAAATTTGAAAAAATTGAAAATGTCCAAGAGGCCTCATTTACACCAGAGCTGCTCAGGTGAGCAGCTCACTCGGCATAACTGGTCTAGTGCTTATCTGAGAGTAACTTGTGTGGCCCGCTGTTGGTTGAGTCAGCCCCGCTGGAGGGCATGGGCTCAGACGCACTCGGTTCTAGTCCAGTAAATTGCGGATCACTGCAGCGGGACACCACGGACAGAATGTAACCAATTCTTTTACTTGGGTTGTCCGAATTTAAAGTAAATTAAAATATGCTTGAACAATCTCTCACGTGACTCGGCCAATACTAACGCATAGAGAAGTTGGACTGCCATTAAATAAATAATAAATTCGCGGGGCTCTACACTAGCTACATAAAAACGAGAAATATCAATTTTGGAAGAAAAAACCTGAGTACCGTTTAGACAATAGTATTGTTCACAGAGACACGTTTTGGGAGAAATAACTTTTCGGTATCAATGACAATCCAAAACGTGTTGGTTTGTACAAATATCTACTTTTTCTGCAGCATTACGTAACTTCCTTTATACAAGGTATACGAGAAAGTAAAGTAAGAAAAGGACACCATTACTCCATTTTTAATATGTTTACAACAGACACAATGCTCCCTGAAACAGCTAGTTAGTAAATATGACTTTCGCCCTTAAGGGATAAATCTTGAAAGCAAGTCCATTCAACGTTTTCCTTCACACAAATCATATAACTCGAAATATCTTCGCATCCCACGAGATGAAATCGGTTTTTTAAAGACAGACCTTGAAATCAGGTCTGGTACAATATTCGAAAGTATGAGATTTTCGCGCAATTTTGCGCAAAATGTAAACAATTTTTATTTCTTTAAAAAAACGGCTCCCTTTTCTTTAAATTCTCTTCTCTAATGAATCAAAAGAAGGTAAAATAACTGGTGCTAGCCTTTTCCCCCGGGAACTGTATATTTTCGAAAATATAAAAAATTTAACATTTCAAAATTACAAGATTGAAGTCAGAAATTTTTGCTTTAAACAAAATCTGTTCTAAAGAATTAGCTCTTTAAAAAAGGCCATGTACTTTTTTTGAAGAAACTAGTAGTTTCAGCGGAATTTGTACTTGAATTTAATGCCATTTATAAGAAAATCTCGCTCTAAATTTCTCTTTAATTCCCCCCCCCCCACGGACACAATAACACTACTATTTGATGAAAAAATTAATTCAGTACACCAAAAAATAAAATAAGAATGAAGCAGATGCACATAACGTGCAGTGCTACCAACGTTGAGTGTTAAAAGTGACCTGAGTCACTGACTTGGGTACATTTTGCAACACACTTTAGATACTGACTGTAAAACAAAGAAACAGGGTTTGTTTATTCCGGCACCTCGGAAAAAATAGGAAAAAAAGAACAAAAAGCAGAGAAACACCCGGCAACTTCGATATTTAGTTCGATTGTTTTTTGTAAATTCATACTTTTCTTCTCAATCATCATTTCTACGAAGATAATCAAATTATATTATGAACATTTTTTTATGATCGAACAATTTTCGGTTGAATAACCCAAACGCGTCCTGCTTTATTTGTGGAAGCTACGTAATTGCTAAACAAGGACAGAACATAAAGGCTGCCTATGGGGGTTCTTGCTTTTACGTTCGAAATAATATCGATTCTATTTCCTTGACGGAATTAAATATGTATTCAGTTGAAAATGATTTTGAAATGTCTGTAGTACGTCTTCCTACGCTTAACATTATATTACTTTGCATATACAGGCCTCCAACTAAGAGAGCAGCGCCGGTCCGGATGGCCGAGATCGCTAAGGCAGTAGTGCCGTAGCGATTTCGGAGCGAAGGATCGCGGGTTCGAGTGCCGCCTCGGGCATGGTTGTATTGTG